TCGATAACACTAGTATCCGCAGGAATACTAGTGATTCGAACCACAATCAAATGACGAGGATGACACCTGAATTGACACTCATTTTTCACACCTTCTGTAAGTTAACACGAGTGCATTAAAATTTACATATTTAACATGCATCAGCCCCTCTAGACTATGGACTATTAACATTGGTCGAAATGCTGACTATCATGCTGCCAGGAGGATCATACTTAACACTACAACAGCCTTTCGCCGCTAAAACCCTAAAGGACAGATATGTTGTCAGGTTGACTGCGAAAGATCGTACAACCACGTCAAGGACCTTGAGTCAGGAAAGGGCTTGTTCCAGAACACCTTAAGGACAGTGTGACGACGTCCTTAACAGTATGAGCTTTCAGCACGATGACTAGTATTGCGGCTTCCTTTGACACTGTAGCATAGAGGCGTGCAGTGACAGTCGTAAACTCAATGGTGTAATCAAAGATAAAACTGAATAAAGGAGTGTCTCCATGTCGCTTTTCAGACGAGTCCCGGTTCTGCATGCAGCATCATGATGGAAGCATTCGTGTCGAGGCATCGAGGAGGACGCATGTGGCCTACTTGTTTTCGATATCGTCAATTGGGCTCTTTACCTGGTGTAATGGTATGTACAACTATTTAGTACACGGCATGATTTTGTCAGTAATCTGAACATCTACATTTCTTCTATCTTAAAAGCAGTCGGAGAATGTGCTTTATATACAAGGTGCCAGTGACGTTATCTTTCAACAAGATGACACAAGGCTGCATGTTTCAACTCGTGTTCTGATCTATCTCGGCACAAAGGGACTGATGATTAGGCCAGTACGATTCCCAGATCTTTCACCCTCTGAAAACACTTGATTATGAATTATTAAGAGACTTGGTCACCACCACTTTCCACCCACCACGTTTGATGGAGCGTCACACAGACTCGATTTGACTTGATGCCTAACTGGGTTGGAGCTATTTTAATTGCCAGTGGTGGCATCTGCGTGTATTAATTTTGGACCCTGTATAACCCTACATTATCTACAAATTCATTCATGTTTTTTCTTACTATGTTTTGTATGTACAATACATAAATAGTTATTATGTGTTTTCTTTCATGTTACTTCAATTATAGTGACCAGTAGTTGTTTAGAATTTTATGGACCTGTTTTAATTTTTCCTTATAAATGAAATTAATTCTAGAAACAGAAACCAAATTTCCACCATTTTGAATTATTTTTAAGCCACAGGAAGGTTTTTTATGCAAGATAAATTAATTTCAGGAAGAAAAACCTATATTTTCTCCAATTTTGAGAAAAATAATTGAATAAGCAAAAGAAAAAAAAATCGTGATTTTCAAAGACTAAAGCTCATTTTTCGCTTCATGATTAAATACCAGTTTTTCAGCATTAAAAATGAAAGTAACTTTTTAAAAAATTATTTTGCTAAGAGTCGCTCAATGTTATGCATCAGTTTATTTGAATTTACTTTTTATATTAAAATAAAGTTATTTGTGTTTGGTTTCCTTCATGTTTCAATCAAAAATGTAAAAAGAAGAAAAAAATGTTAAAGTGAATGTAATTTGATTACGCACTGAGTTCTGTTTTTATTGTAAAGAAAAAAGTGCTTTTTCTTCGAAATTGAATTAAAACATATTTTCAACTTCAAACAACAAATGTACATTTTTTTTTCTCAAAGCTGATTCTAGCAGAAATAAATTAATTTTTTGGCAATTTAATCTCGCTTTTTTTCATCAAATCTGCATTGAAAGTATTTATTTAAAACTGAAAATAAATTCTCATACATAAATTTGTTATAAAATTACTTTTTTTCCCTTGATTAACTGCCATCAAAGCTATTGTGGATGCAAATGATTTTTCAAGTATTTTGTACAAATATGTTTTGCGAGCAAATGAATTTAACAATTTTAAAGATATTTTATAAATATAAGTATTGTTTTTTTCCTGAGGGTTAGGATATTGGTGTAAATCTAGTCTATAGTGAATGATTCTTTTTGTTATGTAAAAGAAAAAAAAAGATGCTATTTTATAAGTAATATAGTTGAGTTTTCTACTAAAAAGTTACGGAATCAAATAAACTAAACACTTTTTTAAAAAATTATTCTCTCTCTCTCTTATATATATATATATATATACTAAATTGATTATTTTAATAATTTTTAAAATCAGACTTCATTTAGAATTGGTGAGCTATGAAAACAAACATACTTCAGATTTTTTTAGTAAAAATTAATCTCATTTTTCCATGATTTATTCGTTTTTACTTCTAGAAAATAAAACGCTCTCAAAATTGCAAAAAACAATAATTATTTTTCGTTCTTAAGTGAAACAATGTAAAATAGAATTATGTACAAAGATGTATCTTCAGCCAACACCTCTGAAAGAACAAAAAAATTGGATGCTTTTACAATTTTAATGAGCATTTGGATTTACAAACCCTACAGGGTGTGTGTTAAAAATATTCCTGATTTATGAGCCCATAGCAGCTTATCCGCTGAACCAATTGAAAGAAAATTTTAGATATTGTACTTGTAAGTGTGTAATCGAGATCATGATGATTTAAAATAATATAGCTTTCACGGCTATATGGTTACAGTGAAAATATTTTGAATTACAACATCCACTTTTTTCTTGCTCAAATGATCTGCGCACTGAAAAAATATAAATGGTGGAATAGTATACATATGACGAATATTGTCGGTGTAAAAAATTTACAAAGCGCAGTGTAAAAAACCAATGGTAATTCAGGTAGGAGATGAATAATTCAGAGGGATCGACAGTAGACGCATCAGTCACAAAACACCCTGTACAAAACGTTGCTTGTGGAAAACCTACAAAATTTCAATTTTTTAAAATTCTTGACTCACATAAGCTAATTTAAAAATCCAAAATAATTTATTAGCTTTATTCAATTATTAATACAGAAGAAAGATATACCTGAATGAAATACTCAGCGAGCATTTATTTTCCATGGATTAATAACTGGAGAGTTTTCAAGAAACAGCGTAGAGTTTACTTTAGATTGCAGTATAAATACCAAGTTTGAATTAGAATAAAATTTTTTGATAAGTATTGTTCCAAATAACTTTTTGTCTTGGATCCCCCTGCTATATGTGATAACTTGTATAATGAACATAAAAGTTTCATTCTCTAAAATTTTAGCTCATAATTTCTTGAAATTATTCACATTTAAATAATATATTAACCTTTTAATGATATAGACTAAGCTCAGTTATACAACATTTTATTAGGGAATTTCTCAGAAGAGTAGTCAAAGAGGCAAGTATCGTTTTAGGCAATGTTCAATTTAAGCCTCCTATATTAGAATCTTAATTCAAATAAAGATCCCTTCAGAGTAACAGTTTGAATTAAGCCAAGAACAGTCATTAAAATTATTTGAATAATTATTTAAAATAATTCGTAAAGTAATAAATACTGAATTTAATAAAGTACTTAAAAAATTTTCCTTTTTATAAAAAAATTCCGAATTCAGCACAATTCTAGATATAAGATTAAACAAAAAATGTTTATCATGAAAATGATCATAATTCTGAAAAAATGCATTGGATTCAGAAAGTTATTTCAATATTTTGGTTAAGAAAGAAAGACGATTTTCTTATAGTGTATAAATATTTCATTGAACAATACATTCTCCATTTTTGTCCGATACTTGTCATCTTTCTAGCATGATTCCACTCACGTAAGACTTCTAATCTTTGCTGGCAAAAAACTGATCCAAGTATTTTTGGAAGACTTATTTGAAGTAAATGTATTATTCTCTCCAAAACACTTTGTAGAGATTAGAATAAGTAATAATCCAATAGTGACATATCTGAAGAATATGATGGGCCTAATGTACATCCCTTTGAAGCTCTAAAGTTACCAAACTTGTAAGAGGTCTTGTGTGTGCATTATATTGGTGGAACACTTACCTTTTTTTTTTCTTTGGATCATTTCTGGCCTATATGTTTAAGTGATTGATTCGGTTTTCCAGTTGATGATAGTTAAATTAAGAACTAATTGGGATATTGTCCAACAGAAGCTAAAAACAACAATAAATTCCTTTGAAATAATCACCAAACATACAGTATCACCTGTTTTTGATGATTATTGGTTTTCGAAGTGCCTTGAGGTGGTTCATCTTTTATACTCCATCATCTAATACATCTAATATTATTGTAAGCAACCCATTTCTCATCTCCAGTGATTATTCATATCAAATGGATCATTTTTCCGACGTATGAAAAGCAAATCACAGACATATCTTTAGAAATTTCTATCTGTAGAAACATTGGAAAAAACCCTTATGCCGAGATTTGAAATTAAACCAAGGCATTTCATGGGATCACGAAAGGTCAAATTCGATAAATTTAAATTTTGAGCGATTTCACAAGTTTTTACTCGGCACTTTACATCAATCAATGCTTTTATTTTGCCTTCATCAGAACTTGGTAAATCTTCAACATCAAAATTGCCAGAAAGAAAATTTGTAGATCCATTTTGGCACTGTCATTCTGTTAATGCATCTCCATACATATAGAATAATTCTTTTCTTGCTTGAATAGTACTGTTATCTCATCTAGTAAAAAAAAAAAAAAACGTTCTGATTTAGACTTTTCACACATATTTTATGGGGAACCAAACAACAAAATAAGTGTTTGTGTACTTATGTACGCACGTAAGAAGTTATACTTCTTTGGCGTAACAAGATTAAAATCTTTCTAAAAATCTTTAGCAGGGCAAGCTGGCCCAAGGAGGAAAGGCGGTCACGAGCAGAGTTGAACGATACTAACCTTCAGTCAATCGGACCAGCCAAACCTGAGATAATCACGATTTAAATAAATTTAAACACCCCCGCACAGGGACAATAGGACCAATAATATGGGGAGGGGGTCGAAGGCGGGAATGATATGTCCCGTTCTGCATATTGCTAGAAAAAGCATTTTCGTATCCGTTCCTACGGAACGCAAAGCACAGGTTCGCTGACTCGACGGTATAGCTCGGAGGTAGAGCATTCGACTGCAGATTGAGAGGTCTCCGGTTCAAACCCGGATGCTCCCTTCTTCTGGGAAGTGAAGAGAAATATTCTTTTGAGAAATTTGAAGGCAGGAATGATCTGTCCCATTCTGCATTTTCTAATCGAAGCATTTTCGTATCCGTTCCTACGGAACTCAAAGCAAAGGTTAGCTGTCGCGGGGGTATAGCTCAGTGGTAAAGCACTTGACTGCAGATCGAGTGATCCCCGATTCAAACCCGGAAGTCTTCTTCTTCAGAGATGTGAAGAGAAAAATTTTTTTGAGGATTTTGAACGCGGGAATGATCTGTCCCATTCTGTATATTTCTAGACAAAGCATTTTCGTATCCGTTCCTACGGAACGCAAGGCAAAGGCTCTCTGACACGGGGTGTATATCTCATTGGTAGAGCATTAGACTGCAGATCGGGAGGTCCTCGGTTCAAACCCGGGAGCCCCCGTTTTCAGGGAAGCAAAGAGAAATAATTTTTTTTGAGAATTTCGAAGGCGGCAATGATCTGTCCCGTTCTGCATGTTTCTAATCAAAACATTTTCGTATCCGTTCCTACGGAACACAAAGCAAAGGTTCGCTGACGCGGGTGTATAGCTCATTGATAGGGCATTCAGCTGCAGATCGAGAAGTCTCCGGTTCAAACCCGGGTGTCCCTTCTTCAGGCAAGTGAAAAGAAATATTTTTCTGAGAATTTCGAAGGCGGGAATGATTTGTCCCGTTCTGTATATTTCTAGACAAAGGATTTTCACATGAGTGATGGTGTGCGTCACATCCGTGACGGTTTTGTGTCACATTCATGATGGTATGAGCGCGCATTGTAAAAATTTACCCTCATCCTATATTTCTCTAACGCCCCAAAAGAAGTATAACTTCAAAATTATTGCGCAGAAACAAAATTTTTCATAAACAAGCCTCATTATATCAGTCTTAAAAATATATATAATGACAATGCGGCTTAAGTATGAAAAATACAATTATATAAGTCTCATGTTGGGAAAAAATGAAACTATTTTCTAAACAACACAATTAACAGATTGGGAATATAAAAGAAACTGAATGAATTAAATTTCATGTTCAAGTTTACGAATGAAATGTTTTAGCGAAAGACATGATTTTCTGGAATAGGGAATCGATTACAAAAATGTAATTTAAAAATTTTAAAACAAGAAAGGAAAGGAAAATGTGAATGTTCATTTAATGTAAAGATTCAGGTAAATTTATGCAGCACTTTTGTGTAAAACTAGAAGTACTCTCATCTAATGACCGAACCTATTGCTGGAAGAATAGTGGTAATTATAAGTTATATTAAATAATCAAAATAATGGTTATGGCTGGTTGAATATTTGCTATTGAAATATGTTCATAAATATGGAAGAAAATAGATTTTGTCAATTTTCTTTCTGTTTATAGGGGTTGTAAAATGTTCAACGTTTTCATGCTAAAAAAAATTTACATGCATGAAAAAAATGTTGGATTGATTTGTTTAATTAGTTAAATTTACATGATTTAGAAATTGTTTTTGTATGGTGAAGAAAGCCTCTTGTGTTTCTTGAAAAATTTAAGTTCTTTTTTTAAGTATATAGATTTATTTGCTATGAAACTGCTTGCATTAAGACTATACTCAAAATGGATTTTCTGTTTCATGTTAGAAATTGAATTAATTGATAACTATATGTTATAAGGTTTATTGAATGTAATATTAAGCATCATTTGAAAAGGAATCCGTGTAGAGGGAACCACTGCACGCTAAATGTATCGAAGCTCAAACGTCATCCTGTTGGTGGGGTGTATAAGTTAGGAGAGGGGTTGCCATCTCAAATGTCGTCCTCGTCACTTGACTATTGTTCAAAATTATGAGGTCCGTATCCATTAGCCCTCGTGCAGTTTTATAGTGCGATGGTTCTCTCACTTTTACTCATTCGTAAAGGAATTTCAGAAAGTACTTTTCAATAAGTGAATAAAACTCCCTCATCTTTTTGTGCTGAAACTGAAGCTAATCGCAATTACAGCTTGTCCATTTCTATTTAAAACAACATATATGAGCCTGAAGCACTTTTTTTCTATTATTCTTTTAAGGTATCCGACTACGTTCAGAACCGTGAATTTAAAAAGGCGCATAAATGGATAATTTTCATGATATTTAGTGTCACTTAGATTGGAATACATGTATAAAATTGTTTTAGTGACATTATGACAAAAAAAATTATTTAAATACAATATTTTGGCAAAAAATTAACGTAGAATAATTTTTTTTCATAACGTTCTCCTTTTATAAAAAATACTTCTATAATAATAATATTTTGCTTATATAAAGTAAAGACTTCTCCACAGAGTCTGAACTAAGAATTTTGAAAAATTCACAATATTTTCAGAGTTACCACCCACTGAAATAATTATCGGCGTTTTTTTCTTAAAATTTCTTCCCTTTGTTGTCGTAAAATATGGATAAATCCACTTCTAAGTTATATATTTCAAAAATTCTAGTTCAGTCTCTGTACAGAGATCTGAGCTATATATGGGCAAAATATTCTTTTAATAGTAGCATGTTTCATAAAAGGAAAATATATTGAAAATGGGTCATCCTTTGTTAATTTTTTAGCAAAATATTGTACTTAAATAATTTTTTATTGTAATAATATTCTTAAAACAATTTTATGATTTTATGTACGTTTTCTAATCTAAGTGACACTAAATACCACAAATATTATCCATTTATACGCTTTTTCAAAATCATGATTCCGATCGTAGTCGGATACCTTAGAAATGTGAAATTAAATGTAGAATAAAATTTTAAATTGCGTTGAATAATGTATAAACATATTACAAGAGTATCTCTGCAGTTAGTAAGACTTTTTAATTAGTTCAAATAGGTAGTAAAAATGATTTTGGGGAAAATAAGATAAGGTAATATCCTTAAATATGATAAATCTCTGATTATTATAAATCAGATTTTGTAATAATTTAATACTCCAGCAGATTCTGCGTTCATGCCTCTTATTTCTTTTTGAGCAAATTTACAAACTCCTGAACAACAGTAATTTATTATTTTAAGTCGAATGAGACGATGCAGTTTACATGTCGTCCAAACCAGAAAGTTAACCAGAACCAAAAAAGGTGGATTGAAATTTAGTCTGCTGTATTTCTAACGCTTAATGCTACTGAAAACAAAAGTGAATTAAATGAGAGGTTTTTTTCATAAGTTACTCAGAATTTATATACGAAAAGAGATACTGAATATAGCTATAGAACTACTTTGATCAATGTTATAGAAATATATAGATGTAATACATATTTTGCAGCAAGAGCAGAAGCAAATTTCCTTTCAAAAATATTCAATATACATTGGATTGAACATTTTTTGAAAGGTTTTATTTTAAAAAAAACATACTTTCTTTTCAAAACCTTTTATTTATCAGATACATATTATGTGTACAAAAATATTTTCTTTTCTTTTTCGATAACAAATTGTCTCATTAATTTTTTTAATACTTTTTTAAGTTAAGTTATTATTTTATATTAGAAAATATTTGAGTTTATTTATACCCCAGAGCTTTTTAAAAGTATTTTTTTCTTCTCAATATTTAAGCAGAATAGCCCAAATTTATTTTCAGTTCAAAAAGAAAGAAAAAAAAACTTGAAATCACTTAATTTTTTTAAAAAAATATATATATATAATATTGATTGAATGTTATGTCTTCTGAAAGATTACCTATCAATCTTTACTTTATTTTGTTCAAATTTTAGATACTTGAAATAATAAAAACAATAACATTTCTAAAATTAAGTTATTCTTAATGCTGTTCCTCCGTGTATCCGTTTGCAATAATCTATATTAATAAATATGGAAGAATATGAATGAGAGTGGGTGGAATAAAATCAAACGGAAAGAATCAATGAACCACATGAAATACATATTGATTTCCTATAAATGGTTATATAGTTTTCTTAGTTTATACTAAATAATGACGCAAGTACTTGGACCCTGGAAATGAAGGAATCGTACATTCTTTTACGGAGTAGTCCCAATTGATAGCGATGGCTCTTATCTTTTCCCTTTGATTTCTTAATTGGCCCAAGGTAGCATACATTTCAATTTGGTTGTTCGACAGGTTGACCTCAATTATATCATCAGTGATTGGGACAGTCTTGACAGATTCACTCATGAAAAAAAAATGACAAGCATTTATGACTTAAAGGGGAATTAGTTATCCGACTTTGTTTTTTGTTCTTTTGAATTGTCTGGTTACTTTCACCTATTTTAGAACTCCCAATTTGCACTCAATTGTGTTTCTCAGAAATCTAGGTCCACCTTCACCTTGTAATGGGTCCAAATTATCCATTCAAAGGCTAATGCCAAAGTTATTGAAGCTATTATTTTGATTTAACAAGTTATTGAATTATGATATATTCAACGGGAGATATTCTTCTATTCCAGTTTAAAATCATCAAAGCAGCCAAGGACACTCTTCTAGTCATTGGGCTGGATCAGAGAAATCCTTGAGTCACTCACGGATAATTTTATTTACGGATAACAATGTTGAAAATTTGTACATCCTCGCTCCAAATGGAAACATTTAAAATTATTTATCATGATGCTCTTCTCTGAAACTAAGGATGATAGAATACACATTGAAGCAATTTTCTCAAAATTCTCCCTTTAGATTTTTTTTTTTTAAAAAAATCAATGTTGAGAAGAGCGATATTTCGTCACATGTCATGGTTTATTCTTCATTTTCTCTACATTTGTTCATCTGTTTTTTGTAGTCGAATTGCAATACTTTTTCAAATTAATTATTGCAATAAACTATACGTTCAAGCATTTATATTTGTGTCTACATGATTTGTATACTATTCAGCATAGGACTGTTATTGATATAGGTTTAATGAAAGTTAAACATATTTTATCTGATTTAGATTGTTTTTAGGGCTTTAGTTAATATTAATGTATTACTTCTTCAGTTTAAAGTTGGTTGATATATGTTATGATAGAATTTCATGAAATGCTTAGTGGTGATTTTCTGGTGATGTATTTCTAA